ATGGTAAATATTATCTTTATGCCTCCAAATGTAGGACTCCCTTAAGAATTTCATGTAGGGCTATTCTAGTGGTAATGAATTCCCTCAGTTTTTGCATATCTAGGAAAGATTTATTTCTTCTTTATTCTTGAATGAGGGTTTGCTAGGTATAGTACTTTTGGTTCACAGTATTTTTTTTCCTTTTAGTACTTGAATATACCATCTCATTTTCTCTTGGCCTGTAAGCTTTCTGCTAAGAAATCCATGGTTAGTCTAATGGGGGCTCTCTTGTGACTTGAATCTTTCTACTGCTCTTTTTAGAATTCTCATTTATTACTATTAGCTTTTTCTGAGACAAGGTGTTGCTCTGTCACCCAGCCCGGAGTGCAGTGGCACCATAGCTGCTCACTGCAGGCTTGACCTGGGTTCAAGTGATCCTTTCACTTCAGCCTCCCAAGTAGCTGGAAACACAGGAGCATGTCAGCATGCTTGGCTAAATTTGTGGGTTTGTTGTTGTTGCTGTTGTTGTTGTTGTTAGAGACAGGGTTTTGTCATGTCCCAGCTGGTTGTGAACTGCTGGATTCAAGTGATCCACCCACCTTGGTCTGTCAAAGTAAAAAGATCACAGGTGTGAGCCACCACACTCAGCTTTTGTTACTTTTTTTTCTTTTTGGAGTTTTGACAGTTTGATTAAAATGTGCCACAGAGAAGACTTTTTTGTGTTAAATGTATCTATCATTAAGCTTCCTGTATCTAGTAGTCTATATCTCATGTAACACTTGAGTTTTTAGCTTTTACTCAAAAACTGAATATTTGGTTGCTTTACGATGTTGTGTATGTCATGTAGGCTTTCCTCATTTTTCTTTTTTTCTGACTAATTGTTTCATTTCAAAAGACTTATCCTTATGTTCAGATATTCTTTCTTCTACTTGATCTAGACTATTCTGAAGCCCTCGCTTATTTCATTCACTGAATTCTTTAGTTTCAGGATTCTATTTCAGTTCCAGGATTCCATTTGTTATTTTTTTTTTTTTATTTAATGGTATGTCTTTGTTGGATTTCTCTATTTCAGATCACAAATTATTTTTCTGATTTGTTTATATTGTTTATCTACGTTGCTTTTTGTCTGACTGAGTTTAGTATCACAATTTTGAATTCTTTTCCAGGCATTTCTTAAATTTATTTCTCATTGGAATGTCTTGCTGGAGAATTAGTGTTTGTTTGCAGCTATCCTGTTTCTTTGCTTTGTCATTTTTTTTGTGTTCTCATGTTGATATCCATGCATCTGCTATAACAGTCGCTTCTTCCAATTTTATGTAGTAGGTTTCATAGGAAAAGACTTCCCTTTGTATGTCTCTGCAGAGTTGATCAAGTAGCGTGCTCTGGCTCTGATTATGGGTACATACAGTAATTTGATTGCTGTATGATTTATTTGGCTGTAGTCAGCACAAGCGGTGTTTGTGAATTCTTAATGGCTTAGGCTACCATTCTGATTCTGTGGCTGAGAGCATAATTCCCAGCACTTTGGGAGGCCAAGGCGGGTAAATTGCCTGAACTCAGGAGTTCAGGATCAGCCTGGTCAACATGGTAAAACCTCATCTCTACTAAAATACAAAAAAATCAGCCAGGTGTGGTGGTGTGTGCCTGTATTCTCAGCTACTTGGGAGGCTGAGGCAGGAGAATCGTTTGAACTCAGGAGGTGGAGTTTGCAGGGGGTAGACATTACACCACTGCACTCCAGCCTGGGCAACAGAGTGAGACTCTGTCTCCAAGCCTTGCTGAGGACTGGGATGACAGGTGGATGGTTTCTCAGGTCCCAGTGGTGATCTAAGTTTGCCAGTCCTTGGGCCCTTCACAGCATCCATAGGTAATAATGGTAGTGGGTCTAGGCAAGCCAATGCTTGTGGATTCTGGCAACTTGCTCTTATGCTGGCCATAGTAGTGGTAGGATGAGCTGGTGGATCTCCAGGCTTCTTGGGCAAGATATGTGGCATTGCTGATGGTAATCCTTGGGCCTGGATGTGTTAGCCTCTAACTCCCCACTCTGCAAGTGCAGATGCGTAGCAACAGCCATGGTGGCAGCTTACTTAAATGCCAACTCAGTATTGTTTAAGAAGTCCCATACTACTGAACTAAAAGTACATTTCTAAAACTTCATTAAGATAGACTTTTCCTAAAGAGAAATTGTAAAAAACAAAAGTTTGAATGTATGTGTATAACAGAAATAAGATTTTAAAAAATGAACCTGTAATTATAGAATTTCCTCATCTTGAAAAGTAAGCTTTTAAGACAATTTCCATTGCAATGTAGTCAACATATTATTATTGAGGTTTTCACATGATTAAGCATAACAGATAATCCACACTAAAAATGACCTCTGTTTTCATTTCTTAAATTCTCTCCTTTCTTCCCAATGAAAACATATACTCAAGTAACGAAAATCTTAGATTTATAAAAAATTTGCTAGATAACAGGTTAAATTTGTGGTTTTTAAGTCAGAAAAATCCAGTGTATTTGGGCACTAAATATTCTTTAAGTTTGCAAGTTGTAGGTTAACAATGAAAATGTTCTAGCAAAAGTCATAATCAATCCAGAATTAAGAGGTTTAAATTATGCAACATTATTTTCTACCTGTTTGTCAAAGAAAATTAGGTTTTACATCATAGAATGTTTTTAAAGAAAATACGGTTTATTACATCTAGCAGCCACTAGGCCTGCTTTACTCATGTGCAATTGGTACATTATAGAAAAATGTAACTGTAGGCCAGGTGTGGTGGTTCAGACCTGTCATCCCAGCACTTTGGGAGGCTGAGGCGGGTGGATCACAAGGTCAAGAGATCGAGACCATCCTGGTCAACATGGTGAAACCCCGTCTCTACTAAAAATACAAAAAATTAGCTGGGCATGGTGGCGTGTGGCTGTAGTCCCAGCTACTCAGGAGGCTGAGGCAGGAGAATTGCCTAAACCCAGGAGGCGGAGGTTGCGGTGAGCCGAGATCGCGCCATTGCACTCCAGCCTGGGTAACAAGAATGAAACTCTGTCTCAAAAAAAAAAAAAAAAGAAAAGAAAAAAAAAGAAAAATATAACTGTAAAATCAGACCATTAAGTGTTTGAATGCTGACAAAAAAATGGTGAAAAGTGGGGTTGAGGGTGGAGAAATCAAGTAGTTATCTTTCCTGTCTCAACTATACTATACTGCAGGTGACTAAAAAAGAAAATTTAGCTAATTATACCTGCCATAGAGTGATAGACTTAGTGTGTCATAATTTTGCAACTCTTGTTGAAATAATGGACCTCACAATAATCATTCATACCTCCTAACCATTAGAGAACACTGTAGTGGATGATCTATGCTGAGGAAAACCGAACCTACTGATTAAAATTTTAATATCCAGAAGAGAGAGAACTTAAACTACATCACCTAATGAGCTGAAACATACAGCAACACCTAGGAAATATTCTTGATATTCCCATTTCTACCACCCACAAAAGAATTCTGATTCCGTGGCTGGGCCCAGCAGCTCACACCTGTAACCCCAGCACTTTGGGAGGCCAACGTGGGCGAATTGCCTGAGCTCCGGAGTTTGAGATCAGCCCATCAGCGCAGCCAACATGGTGAAACCCCATCTGTATTAAAATACAAAAAAATTAGCTGGGCATGGCAGCATGGGCCTGTAGTCCCAGTTACTTGGGAGGCTGAGGCAGGAAAATCTCTTGAACCTGGGAGGTAGAGGTTGCAGTTAGAAGAGATCACATCACTGCACTCCAGCCTGGGCAGCTGGGCGAGACTCCATCTCCAAAGAAAAAAGAATTCTGATTCTTATCAAGGCTCCAAATCTAACTGTTAGGTTAGAGGAAATATAGGAGCATAGTAACACATAACATGTTAACTTCATTGGGATACAATCTGAAAAATCTATACAATTGTATAGCACAGATGTGTACAGCACAGACATTGTCTCTACTTCTGTATGAACCCTGTTAAACTCCTGATTTGATAAAAACATGTAGGAGAAAATTGGGCCATTTTTAATAATAACTAGTTATTCAATGATATTAAGCAACTGTTGATTGGGTGTGGTGGCTCATGTGTGTAATCCCACCATTTTGGGAAGCCACGGTGAGCAGATTGCTTGAGCCAGAGTTCCAGACCAGCCAAGGCAACATGGGGAAACTACATCTCTACAAAAAATACAAAAATTAACCGGGCATAAAGGCACATGCTTGTAAGTGCTAGCTACTCTGGAGCCTGAAGTGGGAGGATAGCTTGAGCCAGGAAAGCAGAGGTTGTAGTTAGCTGTGATTCACATGCACCACTGTGCTCTGGTCTGGGTAACAGAGTGAGACCCTCTCAAAAAAAATAAATTATTGTTTAATTTTTTTAGGTTTCAAAATGATCTGGCAGTTTTAAATTAAAAACTCCTTGCAATTTGAGATACAGATGAAAATATTTAAAAATGAAATTATATGTTTGGGATTTAATTTAAAATTATCTTGGGTAGAAGGAACTTGTAAGTACGTTTACAGGGGAAACAAGATTGGGCCATATAATAATTGTTGAACCTAGGTGATGGTTAAATATGCACATATTATACTATTCTGTACAATTTTCTGTTTAAAATTTTCCAGAGTAACAAGTTTTAAAAGCTTCTGAAAGTCTTCTTGTACATATGCTAAAGATTTTTGTTATCATTAAATTTATAGCATATTATTTTTAGAAAAGTTTAATAATAAGGTAAAGAAACAGCAGGCAACATGTGCTGAAATTATCATGAATTCATAAAAAGTGGAGAATTGAAATTCTGAGGCAGTTATTAATGAGCAACAAAAATGACAACAGCTAAAGACTTATTTATTACAGTCAGCACTTTTTCCATGTTTCCACATCACTGACTTTCTAACATCCTTTCACATTTACTTCAACATTTACTTCATTAGCAAATGAATACTACGTATAGAGTAAATAAAATTTCATACTTCCTTGGCATTTTAAAACAATTCCAGATTTAAATGCGACTCACCTGCTGTAAAATCTTCAGTCAGATCAATAAATGCATGAGAATGTGGAATTCGCATTTTACTTGCAGTGGTCAATGCTGAATGCCATGATAAATTTCTAAAAAATCAAGTAAAAATACTTTTCTTAAGGTAAACATCAAATGAGCATTGTTTTAAAACAAAAATCTCTGCATGCAAAGCATTTTAAAATTTATTTATTTTTATTGATATATTCAACATATTATAAAATTCTCTTAAAGTGCATTCAGTGGTTTCTAGTATGTTCACAGTGTGCAAGTGTCACTACAATCTAAAGAATTTTCATCATACCAAAAAAGAAATTATGTACTCAATCTTGCCCTATTTTCCCCAACTGGCAACCACAAGTCTGCTTTCTGTCTCTATGCAGGACATTTCACATAAATGGAATCATACACTATGTGGTCTTTTGTGTTTGGCTTCATTCAGTTAGAATGTTTTCAAGTTCATCTATGTTAAAACGTGTATCAATGCCTCAGTTCTTTTTATGGTGGAATAATATTCCATTGCATGGGTTTACATTTTGCTTATCCATTCATCTGAAGATTTGGCTTGTTTCCACTTTTGGGCTGCTACAAACATTCATGTACAAGATTTTATGTGGACATATATTTTAATTCTTTTTGGTATTAAAAAGAATTTTTATGACCTAGGAGAAGTGCTGGGTCATAAAGAAGTATATGTTTAACTTTTTGAGGAACTGTTAAACTGTTTTCCACTTCATCTTACATTTGCACCCTGCAATGTAGATATTCCAGTATCTCCATATCTTGTCTTATTATTGTCCATTTATTTTGTTATAGCTATCGTAGTAGGGGGCATGATAAAGTATTTCATTGTGGTTTGATTTGTATTTTCCTGACAGCTAATGATGCTGAACATGTTTGCTGTGTTTATAGGCCATCAGTATATATTCTCGGGAGAAATGCCTATTCAAATTATTTTCCCATTCTTAAATTGTGTTATTTATTGTTTTACTGCCATCCATCCATCCATCCATCCATCCATCCATTTCTAGAGACGAGGTCTTGCCTTGTTGCCCAGGTTGGTCTCGAACTCCTGGTTTAAAGGGATCCTCCCTTTTCGGCCTCTCAAAGGGCTGGGATTACAAGACTACTGCCCTCAGTCCCTGTTGGTACATTTTAAGAGTTCTTTGTATAATCTGAACATTAGACCTTTATCCAGTACATGACTTGTCTCCTAGGCTGTGGGTTGTCTTTTTACTTACTTTTCTTTTGAGACAGAGTCTCACTCTGTCACCCAGGTTGGAGGGTAGTGGCACAATCTCTCCTCACTGCAACCTCCACCTCCTGGGTTCAAGTGATTTTTCTGCTTCAGCCACCTGAGTGGCTGGGATTATAGGCGTGCGCCACCATGCCCAGATAATTTATTTTTATTTTTCAGTAGAGACAGTGTTCCACCATGTTGGCCAGGCTGATTTTGAACTCTTGAGCTCAGGCAATTCACCCACCTCAGCCTTCCAAAGTGCTGGGATTACAGGTGTGAGCCATCGTGCCTGGATATATTTTACTTTCTTGATAGTACAATTTCTTAATTTTAATTAAGTCCAATTATCTGTTTTTCATATTTTTGCTTGTTCTTTTGGTACTCTGTCAAAGAATCCATTTCCTAATGGAAGGTCATGAAGATTTATCTGTTTTCTTCTAAGGGTTTTATAATTTTAGCAATCATATTTATCTTCTTTAATCTTTTTTTAATGAATCGGAAAATAAATGACAATATCATAGAAGATTTTCTAATATTGTGGAAAATAATAATGAGTCTCTTTTACAAATATTAATTCTAAAGTTTTGGATCATGCAAAATAATAAACTGAGGCCCCTACTTCACACTACATATAAAATTTAATTCAGAATGGATGAAAGGACTAAAAGGCTCTCTGGAAAAGAGTTTGGCAGTTCTTCAAAAAGTTAAACACAAAATTAGCATATGATCCTGCATTTCTACACTTAGCTATATATCGAAAATAACTGAAAATAGGTAAACAAACAAACACTTGAAAAATGAACGTTCTTGGCAGTGCTATTTACAATGGCCCACAAGTGGAAGTAACACAAATGTGGGTTAAATCAGTGGGTAAATGGATAGACAAAATGTCATAGATCTATACAACAGACTATTATTAAGCCATAAAAAGGACTAAATTACCAATACAATATAGACTAGTACAATATGGACAATCCTTAAAAACATACTATGTGAAAAAAGGCAGAAACAAAATGTCACATACTGGAGAATTCCACTTATGTGAAATATTCATAATAGTTAAATCTACAGAGACAGAAAGCAGATTTCTGGTTGTTAGGTGCTGAGAAAAAGAAAAAAGGGAGAGTGACTGCTTAATGCAGGGGTCCCTAAACCTTGTGCTGTGGACTACTACAGGTCCATGGCCTGTTAGGAACCGGGCCACACAGCAGATGAGTGGCAAGCAAGTGAGCATTACCTCATAAGCTCTGCTGCTTGTCAGATCAGAGGCAGCATTAGTTTCTCACACAACTGTGAACCCTACTGTGAACTGCGCATGCAAGGGATCTAGGTTGTGCATTCCTCATGACAATCTAATGCCAATGATTTGAGGTGGAATAATTTTATCCTGAAACCACCCCCACCACCTGGCCTCTGACCCTATCCATGGAAAAATTGTCTTCCATGACACTGATCCCTGGTGCCAAAAAGGTTTGAGACTGCTGGCTAATGGATACAGGGCTCCCTTTGGAGTGATAAAAAGGTATGGGATCCAGATAGGGCTGAGGATTGTGCAAAATTGCAAATGTACTAAATGACACTAAATTGTATACTTTATAAATTATACAACAAGGAATTCTATGATTTAACAGTTTTATGTTATGTGAATTTTATCTTAATAAGAAAAGCCCATAGCACAAGGTTTCTGTTGATCTCTCATTCAGTTTCCACTAATAGTAACATCTTCTATAACCACGATATAAATATCAAAACCAGAAGATAACACTGGTAGTAATTCTATCAACTATAGAAGAAGGAGGAAGTTTAACTAAAATCATTCTCCCATAACTTCTCACTAGGTGAGGATATGCCCATTTATTACCAAGGCTTGACTCAAGTCAGCTTTCTCCAAAAGGTCTTCTCTCTTCTCTTACTGTTTTCCTGCTACACTTTTCGTTCCTAATAGCATTTTGGTTTGCATTAAAGTTACTTTAGAAACTTTCTCTTTGATGCTGTAAAGCTCCCCCAGAAATCTTGATTCATCAATATTTGTAACCACAATGCCTAACCAGGACCTGGCTTCCATGAAATGTCGGCAAATGCCGGCTAGACTGAACCTCAGTCTCGAGAGGCATTTCCTATTTTTCTCTACTTTAGTTGTAATTCGCTACCATTTTCATAGTAATATGTTCCAGTCTAATATGGAACGACAGATACATCACCTCCTCAGAGCAATTTAAGGCTATTTAAGTCCAATTTAATTGTCAACACAGCATCCAACTGACTAGATAGCAAACAAAGTTTGTAACTGTGAATTTGGTTTTGATGTCTTAGAAATCAAAACGACACAATGGACTAATTTGTTCTTAGCAGGTGGAATCTGTGAAAAAGAATAACCATTCATTGGGAGAAAATTTTCTCTACACGAAATGCATTCTACAAACAGCAATCTCTTTCCATAGCCTTCTACAAATATTCTAGTACAAGCGGGGCCTAAACACACTTTAATCTAAGCAAGACAGTAAAATAAAAAACAAGCAGTATTCATACAAACTAGTTTCATTATTTTAACCTGAATTCTGACTAACATAAAGTCATGGTAGTAAGAAAATATTAAATTAAACTGAGAAATTACATTTTGTATATGTTGTAAGGTAATTCATGCCAAACAAGTGATTTATTCTTTCACCCTACACAAGGTTAGAAATCTTTAAAACAGTTTCGCTTATATCCAGTTTAATGACTGATTTACTTCTTTTTAAGATAGGTAATTTATTCATCAGTTCAACAATTTCTAAGCATTAAAGGATTTTAAATTACTAACAAAATAGTCAGACTTGGGTTAAAGATTCTCTGACAAGTTTAACCCAAAGTCATTTCAAAAAACTTTCCTAATGTTGTCAACAGATTCATGTTATAGGCCAAGAATGATTAAAAACACAGACTTTTAAAGAAGGTGGGATTGTTGGAAGGTGGCTGAACAGGAACAGCTCCAGTCTGCAGCTCCCAGCATGATTAAGGCAGAAGGCAGGTGAGTTCTGCATTTCCTACTGAGGTACCCAGTTCATCTCACTGGGACTAGTTGGACAGTAGGTACAACCCACGGAGGGCAAGTGGAAGCAGCGTGGGGTGTTGCCTCACCCGGGAAGTACAAGGGGTCAGAAAGTTCCCTTTCCTAGCCAAGGGATGCCAGGAGGGACTAAGCTGTGAGGAATTCTGCTGTTAGGAATGGTGCACTCTGGCCCAGATACTACACTTCTTCCATGGTCTTTGGAACCTGCAGACCAGGAGATTGCCTATGCCACCAGGGCCCTGGATTTTAAGCACAAAACTGGGTGGCCATTTGGGCAGACACTGAGCTAGCTGCAAGAGTTTTTTTTTTTTTTTTTTTCCCATATCCCAGTGGCGCCTGGAATGCCAGCAAGACAGAACTGTTCACTCCCCTAGAAAAGGGGGTGAAGTAAGGGAGCCAAGCAGTCTGCCTCAGTGGGTCCCACACCATGGAGCCCATCAAGCTAAGATCCACTGGACTGAAATTTTTGCTGCCACCACAGCAGTCTGAGGTTGACCAGGGATGCTCGAATTGGTAGGGGGAGGGATGTCAACCACTGCTGAGGCTTGAGTAGGTGGTTTTACCCTCACAGTGTAAACAAAGCCACCCAGTAGGTTGAACTGGATAGAGGCCACCACAGCTCAGCAAGGCCACTGTGGCCAGACTCCCTCCCTAGATTCCCCCTCGCTGGGCAGGGCATCTATGAAAAAGACCAAAAAAAAAAAAAAAAAACCCATTGCAACAAAGGCCAAAATAGACAAATGGGACCTAATTAAACTCCAGAGCTTCTGCACAGCAAAAGAAGCAATCCTTAGAGTGAA